GTGTGACTTCATACTTCGTATGTGCTTTCCAGACCCTTGATCTTTTGGATATGCCAAAACCATCATGCAACCATTTGAATAACTCCAGACCAGGCTCAGAAGAGTTATTATAACTTTACTAATGGAACTTCAGCATAACAGTTCAATCTGAACAATGTCAAATCCAAAGACATGCTGGTAGGTTAATTGGCTCCTGTCTAAATTGGCCCTAATATGTGTATGTACAGTACCTCACAGACCCCTCACATTTTTGTAAATATTTTATTGTATCTTTTCATGTGACAACACTGAAGAAATTACACTTTGCTACAATGTAAAGTAGTGAGTGTACAGCTTGTATAACAGTGTAAATTTGCTGTCCCCTCAAAATAAATCAACACACAGCCATTAATGTCTAAACCGCTGGCAACAAAAGTGAGTACACCCCTAAGTGAAAATGTCCAAATGCCCAATTAGCAATTTTCCTTTCCCAGTGTCATGTGACTCATTAGTGTTACAAGATCTCAGGTGTGAATGGGGAGCAGGTGTGTTAAATTTGGTGTTATCGCTCTCACTCTCTCATACTGGTCACTGGAAGTTCAACATGGCACCTCATGGCAAAGAACTCTCTGAGAATTTGAAAAAAAGAATTGTTGCTCTACATAAAGATGGCCTAGGCTATAAGAAGATTGCCAAGACCATGAAACTGAGCTGCAGCATGGTGACCAAGACCATACAGTGGTTTAACAGGACAGGTTCCACTCAGAACAGGACTCGCCATGGTCGACCAAAGAAGTTGAGTGCGCGTGCTCAGTGTCATATCCAGAGGTTGTCTTTGGGAAATAAACGTATGAGTGCTGCCAGCATTGCTGCAGAGGTTGAAGGAGGGGGGGGGGGGGGGGGTCAGCCTGTCAGTGCTCAGACCAGACGCCGCACACTGCATCAAATTGGTCTGCATGGCTGTCGTCCCAGAAGGAAGTTTCTTCTAAAGATGATGCACAAGACAGTCCACAAACAGTTTGCTGAAGACAAGCAGACTAAGGACATGGATTACTGGAACCATGTCCTGTGCTGTGGTCTGATGAGACCAAGATAAACTTATTTGGTTCAGAAAGTGTCAAGCGTGTGTGGCGGCAACCAGATGAGGAGTACAAAGACAAGTGTGTCTTGCCTACAATCAAGCATGGCGGTGGGAGTGTCATGGTCTAGGGCTGCATGAGTGCTGCCGGCACTGGGGAGCTACAGTTCATTGAGGGAACCATAAATGCCAACAGGCACTGTGACATACTGAAGCAGAGCATGATCCCCTACCTTCGGAGACTGGGCCACAGGACAGTATTCCAACATAACGACCCCAAACACACCTCCAAGATGACCACTGCCTTGCTAAAGAAGCTGAAGGTAAAGGTGATGGACTGGCCAAGCATGTCTCCAGACCTAAACCCTATTGAGCATCTGTGGGGCATCCTCAAATGGAAGGTGGAGGAGCGCAGGGTCTCTAACATCCACCAGCTCCATGATGTCATCATGGAGGAGTGGAAGAGGACTCCAATGGCAACCTGTGAAGCTCTGGTGAGCTCCATGCCCAAGAGGGTTAAGGCAGTGCAGGAAAATAATGGTGGCCACACAAAATATTGACACTTTGGGCCCAATTTGGACATTTTCACTTAGGGGTGTACTCACTTTTGTCGCCAGCGGTTTAGAGATTAATGGCTGTGTGTTGATTTATTATGTGGGGACAGCACATTTTCACTGTTATACAAGCGGTACACTCACTACTTTACATTGTAGCAAAGTGTCATTTCTTCACTGTTGTCACCTGAAAAGATATAATAAAATATTTCCAAAAATATGAGGGGTGACTCACTTCTGTAAGATACTGTATGAATATAAGTTAGGGACCTTAGATTATACGCCCCTTGAGGGTTAGGAACTGATGTGAATGTACAACATATATGTAAAGCACTGTGTAAAATTGACAGCACCATATAAGTAATAAATAAATAAATAAAAATCCTAATGTTAACTACATTTGTTCAGCTGCCCAGGCTTACCTCTGTAAGGTATCCTCCAGGACTCCTGGTGTCTGTAGCGGACTGCAAGATGCAGCACTCCGTTTTTCCAATCAAGCCTAGGCTGTAAAATCAGTATACCAGGATCTCAGCCTTGCCCCTTTTTATAGCCAAAGTGGGCTTGCTCACACCAAAAAGCCAGGGAAAACAGAATATGTGCTTAACCCCTTCTTCCCTATCGTTGGCCAATCGCTAACTTACTAAAGCAGTGTTACAACCCACTTACACAGGTCAATGTGTAGATTGTGTGGGGGACAGAGCCAGAGAGAAGCATAGCAATAAAATCTGTATTTTTTATTTTTAAAATGTCTGGCCAATTTATTAATATTTAAAAACTGTAGTTCTGCTTCTGTTTTCTTCATTTACCAAAAATTCTAAGCATGTTTTTGGTGGATTATCCCTTTAAACTGCAGACAACACATTTATAAGATTATCCTGGCATTTGCATTTCTTCAAAATAGATGTTTTTCTCCTTGCTAAGCACTGACAGTGGAAATAGGGAGTTATACAAACTGTAAGAGAATTTTAGATAAAGTCGGCATGTTTTGCTTGCAGCTCGCACTTTCTGATCTTGCAAATATTCCATTGAAATGAAAATGAACTCAGTTTTGTGGAGGAGTTTGATGCAATTTCCCAATGGAACCTAGCAAGATTTGGTAAAATGTGACAAAAATGTGATCTGTTGAGCCATATCTCTGTTTGAGTAACTGTTGTACGTAAATGAATGTTCAGAATTGATAAAACAGACATTTGCAATAAAGGTAATTCTTCTGCCGTAGCTTTGCCTTGTGCATAGCCTTTTGGTTTCGTGAAAGATTAGCAGAAAGTCACAGTGCTGTCTGTTTTCAAATCTATCATGTAGATGAGCTGTTAAAGCTACAGAAGAGTTGACTGCAAGCATTACACTGCATATCAATTAATGACTTTAAAGGAAAGGAGCTGTTTCTAGGCTAAGACTGCCACCACCTGGCACCAAAAATCCTTTTAATTCTTCTAGGCCAACAACAGAAAATTGTGCAGCTTTTTCATATATATCAGTACTGATTTATTTACAGGTCAATAGATACGTAGGTGGTAGATAAAACAAAGACAGATAAATAGACATGAATACATCCCTGTGTATTTTCAGGAGTAAATGCTTCCCTCTTACTCTCCAGGAATAAGCACATCGAACCACAGAAAGCTGTTAGGTGCGGAGATATGCCATTTTAGTTATCATGTATCAAAGTGTCAGGGGTTTGCAAGCAATGCTTCTACCACAGGACAGCTCCAATATGATTGTTATGCATGATGTGTCAAACATGATGGTGCATGATAATACTCAACAGATCAGTCTACTGAGTTACCCTGCCTTCCCATAGCATACAGCAAAAATGTTGATCACTTTGTACAAATCACTGACTTGTCTGTGTATAGTATATCTCTTGCTGGGTCTGTTAAATTGGTGTTTTGAATCCAATGACCCCAGACACAATAATCTATGTGCATTTTGAAAGCAGTGACCAGCCCAAGTGATTTTTTTCTATATATAAAATTTTAATGTAGAGCATCCGGAGACGCTCAGCCAGGAACATGCAAGAAGGATGACCTTTTTGATGCTTGAGGGTATAAAGTCTACGGTTCTTTTCCCGCAGGCTTTGATCTCTCCTGATCCTTATCTGCAAATCAATTTGCTTATTTCTTAAAAAGCATGACAAAACTTTCAGCAAACTATAGATGCTCATAGGTGGTCCAATCATGTCTATTGTATACACAATATCTTCTGATGGTGGTATATTACATTAAAGTGGAACTACAATGTATCTGAGCACCACAAGCCAAAAACGCTGTTTAATTCATTTTTGTTTTGAAAGCAAATTCACCCATTTATCCATGTCTCCATGCTTTATTTTGCTGAGAAATCACTTTGAGACAACACCCCCCCTAGCATTTCTTGCCGTGGCCATCTTGAGTAAGGGCAGATGACTCTTGTAGCACTTACTTCCTGGAATCCATCTGCCCTTAACTAAGGGATGCAGGCAGGTGGGTATGCTTAGCTGACAAAATCCCTCCCCCCTCCTGAAGACTCCTGGGGTGTATGACATCATTTGCAAAGGCATGGAGACCAGGAAGTAACTAAAGAAATGAAAAAAAAAAAAACCTGTGTAAATATGATATACCTTTCTATCTACAGTATTTACTAATACTAGCAGCATAAGAATTCAAAATAGTCAGTGTTTTTTGAGAGTGAAATTCTACTTTGACCTCCCTAGTGGTATGATTATGTCAGTATTTCTGTGCCCAAAGCGTGGAAATATGTTGTTTTCTTATTGTAGGCCTGTAATTCTTAGGAATAACTCACTGAAATCTGTCTGAACAAGAGTCTAGTAAACATCCCGGGTATGATAAAATTTGAAACACGAAATCATAAATTATAATATAATAAATAATAATAAACAATATTTATATAATAATAAATGTAATTCAATAATATAATCAAACCAAAAACACTGAAATTTGAAATATAGCGCCAAGTTCGCACATCACTGAGCTTAGTTGCAAAATCGTTTTCAGTGCCTGATGACGAATTTCCCCACGAATCATTATGGCTCAATTTTGCAAGTAGTTCTAATTTACTATCGCTGTTCTCTAGCTGGTCTGAAACCAATTTTGACCTAAAGGGACGCTTTTTTGGACGCCATGGACATTTCTCAGTTTCCAGGCAGAGAGAACAGTAAAAATACAGGCAGGGCACAGGACAGAGCAGTAGGGACAAAATGTATGTGAAATGGTTTGATACAGTAATGTTTTCTGTGTGATTTTAGTGTATTTAGTGAATGTAATTTTTTAACATTTTTAAGTTTCCGCTGTTTCTATCCCCCGTACGTCGCAATGCTCGCAGGGACCGGAACACGTAAGACGGATGCCGGCATCGGCCAGAGGAGATGGCCGGGGACGCTGCAGGGGGGATATCACGGGACCGCAGGACAAGGTAAGTGCTGGAGGGATCCCTGAGCAAGTGTAGCTCGGAGTTACCGCTTCTGGTACTGAAAGTTAACCCCGAGCTACACTCGTGAATACCGCCAGGAGGGTTAAGGACCCATTCACACCTATGTGTGCATATTGCAGGGTGTATGGTAATGCACTCACATTCCTGTGCATAAGCCCTTTTAGTTTCCCTTCAAGGTCCATTCACACTTAAGTGTGTGTTAACGCACACACTTTTAAAACAGTTGTTTTCATGCATTTAGGTGGGTTACATTAAAGGGGTATTAAACCCAAAACTAAACATGTAATATATTGCAGCTTAGCAATCACTGGATGTGATGGATGCATTAGTTTTCTTTTCTTAGGCTTTTTCCTCTGTTTTCACCTGATGATCTAGTCAGTAACACACCTCCTGTATTAGAGTGCACATACTCCGGAGAAAGGACCATAGGGGACACCTTTGGACAGCCGCATTGCTAGCCTGAGGGGAGAGTAGAATTACATGTTCTAGCAGATTTAAATACATTAATAAATTGAAGCCAAACTTCAACTAACACTTTATAATTAGTTACAGCAAACAGTTTATTTCCCTTGAAGGTTTTACATAAAGAAATCTGATCATAAAGCTGATCATTGTATGCACCCCTATCCTCCCCGCCTTAAGCCAGCCTGTTCAGGTTAGATGGGTTCTTAAACCTCAACACATGATAAAATGCACGTAATGTTGCTGCAGCCACTATACATAGATGTAAGCCTGCTACTGATGATTTCTGCTTGAAATGTATTTTGATGCAGTAAAATGCATGTGATTTACTGCAAGAAATTAAAAATTGTCAAGAAGCCTTGAAAGATAGGCTCTTGAGCTCACCACGTGCTTGGTCCTTCGGTACAGTCTCTCTCCCAACAGTAGGTATAAATAGTCCTAGGCAATTCTGCAAATTGGAAATAATCTGTTTATTCAAACATCACAGCCAGAGTTTCAGGCCTGGTAGACCTGTCTTCAGGTACATTTAAAGCTTATGTTTAGTTTAAAAAAAAAATAGAACAAGGAACAATACTTACTATTAATCTGATGTGTCCCTTTTGTTACTGGATCTTGCATTCCTTGAAATTTGTGCCATTGGGGTTTATAGAGATAAGGGACCTGTCATATGCTTATCAAGGGTTTGAAGCTCAGATGAGAACTGGACCATTTAGGGCACAGCTAGGCAGCTTGGGGGTAGTAAGGTGCACTTCGGACAGATGGAATGGCTATCTTCTCTACGAAAACTGGCCAATTGTCCCCTTTTCTCATTGAGAAGATGAAGGGAGCTAGTAAGCCGATTTTTCTTAGTAGACCTTTCCAAGGTAGAGCATACAGTAATCATTCTTCCATCCACACTTTCAATGTGGATGGGGGAATCCTCCCTGCTGAGCTATTGTATGCTGACCAGGGAGACTTCCCGACTGTCAGAATACACTGACCAGTGCTGCTAGCTATTGCCGGCGGAAAAACCCTACAAGCTGGTTGTACAGAAATTGATTGGTAAATGGACTTCTGTACACTAACCTGCACATACGTGGATCTAAATTTGGCCAGTCCCTGCTGAACCACCCAAATTTTGATCCATGTATGGCTGGCTAAAAAACTACCCATTTTGTTACTGCCCCACCACCTAGGTCTTTGGGGGCTAAGCAATCAGCACCACACTGGTAATGGTCTCCATGAGCTCTGTCTCCTGTAATCCCAGGTATTTTCTGCTTCAGCCTATCGGTTTGCAAAGCAGGCAACCACACAGTAATCCTGATTATTATTTTCAGCTGGCAATTTATGATATAGATTTGAGGTAATTATAACGTTTTTAGATAACTGTTTCTAGATAACTGATAAAAATGTCATGACTTTTGAAAATGCATCTAACTTAAAAGGAGCTTTGGTGTTGAGCTGTACTTTAAACTGACAATCTTATCTTAAAAGAGAAATCAGACGTTATATTAAGCTGAAAAAAAGAGGGAGATATGAACAGTGTCAGCCTTATTCTTTGAAGAGTTCTTATTCTTAAGTGCAAATTCCTTAATAGCCATAACCCATACCTTGCAATCAGAATTCATTTTGCTGAAGTCAGATCAGTACATGTTGAATTAACGATTGCGTATTATGGAATACTATTTTTAAAAGCAAATGCTTTAACATGTTAATGTAATTTCAGCAGTCATTTTAAATACTTTAATTAAAGTAATACCTGATGTGTGTCTGCTCGGCACTTCTTTTTAGGGTGACAACACTCTGTCCCGGTCTCCCATTTGTGCTTTTTGCATTGTCACCCTTTCACATGAGTTTCCAGTGTTGCAAATTCATCAAGCATGACCAGCCTCTGGAGCAGATGTGTAGTGTATGGATGATGGGAGCCTTGCTGGTGATGCTGGTGATGCTGGTGATGCCTCCTGGTTCCCTTGGCTTCAATTTGGCTGTGCATTTCCTGAGGCGCTGGAGAGTACATACGAAGCATAGATCTATACTCAAAAGTTAACAAAAAGAACAAACAAAAAAAACAAATTCATCAAGCATGGTCCACTGTTTTCTTTAGGAAACCCACCCTAAGAAATACAGTGATGCAGTCATCACTAGAGGGCATGCATTTAGACGTGAAGTGACTGCAAAGGGGTTACAAGAATTCAACAGCAGAGATGAAGCAAAGGATGAAAAAATATTAAAAACCAGTGTTTTATTTTGAAAACAATGCAGTTGTTTATAATATACAGTTATAAATGTCATGTAGTTAGGGCTTATGGTATAATTATCACACAAAAACATACTGGAGAACATGCTAAAAAAAAAACCTAAATCGTTTTTTGTTACCTACAGCAAATATGTATTTTTCAAGCACCAAAACCACAGTTAATAAAGAATCTGGTTTCTGTGAGTAATAGGAATCAAGAACAAGACAAGATCATATACAAGGTCCAGTGGGTTTTAGCCAGTTCTAGGCTACATTTACATTTTACAATCTCCTAGATTGTAAGCTTGAAAGAGCAGGACCCTTGAACCCCTCGTGTTTTGTTTTGTTACTGTATTGTCTCATATTCTGTCCCTCACTATAATGTACAGCGCTGAGCAAACCTTTTAGTGCTATATAAATACTGTATAATAATAATAATTTACACAGGAGTTCATATCTGGCCAAGGGTGGCCACCGACAAGAACCAGCAGATTCTTGTCGGAGGTTGTAAACGTTGTTGCACACACTGTCTGCGAACAGCTGCATTAGCACTTTTAAATAAGACCTTTTTATGAAATAAGTTTATATATTACTTAGTGTGTTGTTTTTCTGCAATTTACATAGATCACATATGGTATTAACCACTAGGGAAAATAAAACAGACATCTTTTGGAGGCATGTTGGCATTCAGCGTGAGTTTTTATGTTATAAATAACTGGAAACATATATGGCATCCTCAGTGACAGGCAGGCATGCCGCACACCAGTATTCTCTCAGTAAGAGGCCGCAGGGTGGAAAAGGGAGAAAGGAAATGAAACCTTCAACAGAGCATAGCAACCTGTGAATATTCTAACATACCCAGCAAGATCTGTGACATGTGCATAGTACCACTCTATTTTTAACATAAAACCATATTGAAAAGTCTTATTAGCAAGCGTATGTAGTCATAAAGTAATTGCTAATGTGACAAATGACACTAGTCATATTCCCTGCAATATTCTATTATTGTCATTACATATACGTACAAAAGTGAATCCATAGAACAAAAAAAATGGAAAAAAGAATTCCTGATTATAGATTTTTGTATATATAAGGTTACCCTAAACTCTCTCTTTAAATATATACCATATATATTCAAGTATAGAGCTGTAGCACTATCCCCTTAGGAGTCGCTAGAGATTTGGGCCCCCCTACAGTCCTTGCAACACACATTTCATAGAAATATAACATAGAAAAGTGACGACAGAAAAAGACTGAGTGGTCCATCAAATCTGACCATTTTTTTTTTGGGGGGGGGGGGGGGGTTGTTTGTATTTGTTTGTTTTTGTTTATTTTTTTTGGGGGGGGTTGGTCTTTTTTGGGGTTTTTTGTTTGTTCTTTTTGTTAACTTTTGAGTATAGGTCCGTGCTTTGTATGTACTCTCCAGCGCTTCAGGTAATGCACAGCCAAATTGCAGCCAAGGGAACCAGGAGGCATCACCAGCAAGGCTCCCATCATCCATACACTACACATCTGCTCCAGAGGCTGGTCAGTAGCTCTGAGGAAAGGGATTTGTCCCCGAAACGCATCAGCTATTTGACCGCACTGCCAGTTGGAACACCTTGCTTGCCGTTGTGGCCATCGTCATTATGCAAATGCTTTTTAGAAACATGCTTCCTCTCTGAGTATGTTTTTATCTTTTATACCTTTCAATAAACTTTGATAATGCACTAGGTGTAAGTGCCACCGGTTTATTCTCTATATAGATCTATGCTTGTCCCACGCATGTTTGAAGCTATTTATTGTTGACTGGCTCACTACCTCTGTTGGAAGTTTATTCCATGCATCAACTACTCTTTCAGTAAAATAGTACTTTCTAAGATTAGTTTTGAACTTTCCTCCAGTTAGTTTAAGGTCATATCCCTGTGTTCTTGATTTGGGTTTCATGTTGAAAATCCTGCCCTCCTGAAACTTATTCACCCCCTTGATGTATTTAAAAGTTTCAATCATGTCTCCCTTTTCCCTTCTTTGCTCCAGACTGTACATGTTAAGTTCCTCTTGATATGTTTTCCATTTGGACTTGCACTCCAGAAACAGTAAACAGTCCATGAATCTGTTTTTTGGATTTTATTAGGGGATTGAAACTTGGATGAGGGGTACATGGGATGCCCATGAAACTGTAAAACTGAGGACAATGTCCTGGAACTATATACAAGTGCTCAGAGAGATAGCCAGCCTCTCCTTGTGTACCACCTCAGACCCCAGATGAAATCTCCTCTTCACCAAGCTGCCTAAGGGAGTTCCTGGCTTAGAGGTCCCAGAAGCT